ATGTGTAGTCATACTCTGTTCCAGCATTTGACTATCACATCTTAGAAAGCAATTATTGCTCAACTCAGTAAAATTTTAGTAATTCCTGGACAAGTTTTCCACTTTTTTTTTTTTTTTAAACAGAGTCTCACTGTGTAGTTCAGACTGGTCTTGAACTTACTGTGTAGCCCAGGCTGGCCTCAGATTTGTGGTAACCCTCCTGAATCCTAGGATCACAGGGATATACCACCATGCCAGGCTGCCTCCACATTTTCAAGCCAGTTGTGTTAACAGGTACCGTTTATCAGTCCTGAAGGATAGTCTTCTAGGCTTGAATGATATATCTCAATAGAAGCTGGGAAACCATTAAATACTCTAATAATTCAAGTGTTTATTAATAAATGATAGTAATATCAATTAGTGCAGTGAAATAATTTATAACACAAGTGTCCAGCCTTTTGCCTTGCCTAGGTTGCATTCAGTGAAGAAGTGTTGTCTTGGACCCATATAAAGTATATAATATAGTTGATATATATATATATGTAGTGAAACTTCCTTTTTATATTTTAACTTATTAAGTTACTTTTTAAAATAACATAACCCGGGGAGAAAATGGCGGCTTGCTAGGGGATCGGGCAGAGAGTCTCTCCGGAGAAATCATATTAGAAGCTAGAATATGACAACATGGAGAGGGCCAGACAAATGGATAACGATTCTTATTAACCAAGACAGTGCAGCTGGAGGATTTAAAGTCGTGCTGAGACTGTGAAGGCTGATAACGGGAGGCTGCAAATCCCGCGCCTTTAAATCAATAAATTGACCCATGGACCCAACAGGAAAAGCTGTGTTGGCTTTTGGTGACTGCTGGAAACTGAGACCTGGGACCCCGAGAAGCAGCCAGGACTGCCCCGCTGCACCAGAGGAGATTGTGAAAGGCTCTGGAGCTCCAAAGCCGAACGCTGAGCAGATTTCTGACCGTTCCACGCTGTGCCGGGAGCGCGGGAAAGGTGAGCGGCGTGGTGTGCGGTGAACCCTGGTGAGTACTGGGGACCCCGCAGCTGCTGGGATTGGCCAGAGAACATCTTGGAACTGGGCAGTGCCCGCCACCACGGGGACATCAATAACACAGAGTCTGGTGGCAGCCATCTTAGAGTTGGGCAGAACCTACAGCTCGGTGGCATCACTGAGTCCCCCTGTAGGGAGGGCTGGTGGAAGACATCTTGAAATTGGGCAGAGCCTGAGTACGTGCTTGCTTTAGCGCCATACAGAGAACTAGTGGAAGACATCTTGGATTTGGGCAGATCTGCTGTCCTGGTGCTCCTGTCACAGAGAGATCTAGAAGAGAACAGCTGGGATTTGGGCAGAACCCTGTGCCATAGTGACATTAGTCAGCTGCTTCTGGTACAAAAAGAACCGGCAGGAGCTACTGGGGCTAAACCAAGCCTCTGCTTGGGGCCCAATAAGCAGATACAAAATAGTCACAACTCAGTGACATCCAGAAAGTACAGCCTAATTTACGGATTGACTGGCGCAGAGGCTGGAGACTAGCCTGTACCGCCCATGCATCCCAGCCTACCCCAGATAACAGCAAATTGGGGAGGAAGCAAAAACTCAAGTCAGCACGCTTCTGAAAGGCCCTAAGCAATTCGGAGAGGGCCAGAGAACCCCAGGACAGTCTGAAAGAAACCAGAAACCTGACAAGAAATAAAAATTTTAAAAAATCTCCAACTGCCCAACATGAGAAAATAAGCCCAGGAGAAGTAAACATTGAAGAGAACAAGCACAGTAACCATCCATTGCTTGACACAGAATCAGCCGAAATTAAAAAGTACCTTCATGATCTCATAGATGAATTTAAAGCTGTACTCCTGATCCAAGTGAGGCAAGATATAAAGAGATTAATTAAATAAATGACAAGCCCCGCCCAAGAGAACACAGATGGAAGAACTGAGGAAATCAGAAAAGAAAGAGAAACTTCTGAAGAAGAATTTAAACATAACTTAGAATACATGAAACAGATCCAAAGAGAATACCAGGAAACTAAAAACTCCATTGAACACTGGTAAAATGCCTTGACAGAAACTAAAGACAGCCTTCTGAAACTTGAAGAGAGATTTATGGCATATGATCATGAAAGAAAAAGCCTCTTAAAAATAACAAGGAACCAGAAAGAAGCAATTCAAAAACTAGAAGATGACAAAAAGATACATAACTTAAGAATAAAAAATGTGAGTGAGGAAGCAGGAGCAACCAAAAATGAAATACAAAGAATATTCACAGATATATTAAAGCAAAATTTCCCATGTATAGCAAAAAGAAATGATATCCAGATAAAAGAGGCATACAGAACACCAACTACCTACAACCAAAACAGATCTACGCCTAGACATATAATAATCAAGATTCCAGAAATCCACCAAAAGAACAGAATATTAAAAGCAGCCAGAGAAAAGATGCAGATTACCTACAACGGGAAAACTATCAAAATAACAGCAGACTTATCAACACAAACTCTTAAGTCAAGAAGGGAGTGGGGAGAAATGTTCCAAGTCCTGAAAGAAAATAATATGCAACCGAAGCTCATATACCCGTCAAAACTCTCTCTCAAAATTAATGGAGAAATAAGATAACTTTCAAGACAAGGAGGAACTGTGGGAGTTCGTGGCCACCAATCCAACCCTACAGAGAGTGCTGAAGGACATTACAGAGAAAGAGAGGAAGAGATACCAGGATTCCAGCAACAGTGGCAGAGAGGCCTCAGTGAATGGGGCAGACAGTGGAATGAGGGAATAAGGTGGACAAATTATAGCAGAAAAGTGGAGTAGCAGACATGAGGCAGAGGCGGTAAGCTATAGTCTTTAGTATAGACAGCTCTGAAACTCTTAAAAAAAAAAAAGGCAGAGGTTATTGTTAATGGTGTGTAGGGATTTAAAAGACACAGTAATCTTATTGCCATAGTTAGTTTGAATTTAATTTGTTCTGGTCTGTCCACTCATGTCAGATTTGAGGGCACAGACATCTTGACCCAAAAATAGCAGGTTATACCATGGTAACTATCCTTACTTTCCTATTAACTTAAACTGAAATCCTGTATTACTTACATTGTCTTACTATGACTGATCTTAATTGAATCTGAATCATAAGACTATGGGTTGGCCTTGGCTGATTTTATTTGAAATTGGTATGCTTGTTAGTATCAACCCTAAAAGTAGAGGCAACTACTCTGAGGATAACAAGATGTAAAGGATATCCATACTGGTATTAATTAGTAACAGCTCTCAAATCCTACAATGCTGTCAAAGTTAAGTTTTTATAAAAATAGGTGATACTATATTTAACTATAATAAGCCAGTGTTGTGATCAAATCTATTGAAAATAACAAGAGAAAACATAGTAACTATGGAAGATCATCTATATTGTGGTCTTATATGTCTTATCCATTGCATGTTTTTCTAGGAAATTGTTTTGCTGTCTTGCTATGACTTGGTATTCTCTATATACAGAAAGGATAGATATATATGTAGAAATTCACACACGGGTTTTTTTTTTTTAATTATTTACGGGAACAGATTATATAATGCAAGATGTAATGAACAGATACTCTGAGGAAGAGACGCTAAGAAACCCGAGGCTAATTTTGTAGCATTATGATATAAATTCTAGCAATACTATTGTTCGCTGATTAGAATGACATTTGACTGGTTTCTTGAGTTCAATTTCAGCATATGTAGAGATGGGGACAGCTATCACAAAGAGAATGAGAGATGCAATGGTAGTTACTATTGTCTTCCCTGATTTGGAACTTGAGGACCTAAAAAGCCTCCAATGATTTGATTAGTTCTATAATACGCAATAAGTATATAAAGTGGGTGAAGATGGGGACAACTATTTGTAAGAAACTAGAGACAGTTAGATAGACAATGAGGATCTCTAGTGGACTTGCTTCGAAATCTGTATTTCTTTAAATTGTTTTTTTAACTGCTTTGTTCTGTTTTTATATGTTTAATCTTACCCTCTTTGAGATGTAAAGCAGGTGTGTGGGACTGATAACCATATTACTGAGCTTTTGTTCCATCATGGAGCGGAGCAGTTTGTGGTGTCACTTTTTGAATGTCATTCTAAATACTTTAATTCTATAACATGAACAGCTATTTCTAGGATGACAGTGTGTAACTTATCAACCAGCAATTTCTTACCGTTTGTTTTTCTGTAAGTTTGTATTATTTCTACCCTTTTTTTTATCTCCATGTATTTTTTTGTTTCCTTTTCTTTAAATTAAAAAAAAAAAAATAACATAACCCGAAGTTTAATAAATAAGAAAGCTTATGTATTATGTCTCCTACTGTAACATGAGGATGTTCACTTTTAAAATTAGGCAGGCTATACACTTGGAATTTGTGTGCTTTTCTGTGTATACTTTATGTCTATAAAGTTTGCATTTAAAATAATTGTGCAGTGTGATTTCTATGGAAATGAAACAGCTGTAGAAATGTTAGCTGCTTCCAGAGGTCTCCAGAATGCAGGTTTAAACACTTGCAGTCATTGGTTTGTGGCTGACAGAGATTTCAGGCCACGTTTTTAGTCAATTCTTTTTTTTATTGGTACCACCTGCTTGCAAGGCAGGTTCTTATGCCGCTGAGCTAAATCTCCAGCTTCTTTAATCAATTCTTGATGACTCACTCTTCTAAGTCTTAAGTCTCTTAAGACTTTGAAAGCCCTTGAAAATTCGCACCAGCTTCTTTGCCCCTTGAAGGGTTTGGTGTTTTCCTTAAGTACACCGATGTCTTTTTTTAACTATGAAAGTGAAATTTAGAGTGTTTACGCCTGTGAGTAACACATTCGTGTACCAGGACATGCTCCAGGAGGTGGCTGCTTGTTCTCATGTTTGATTACTTTAAAAGTATTGTCTGAATCTGCTTGTTTGAAAACTGCATTTACATCTGCCATTTTATCTTTTGCCAACACTATTTTTCAATTTTTGCTTTCATATGGTCTGTATTTTATTACATGTATTTTTTTAGGTGACTATGAAAGGCTTATATTTTCAACAGAGTTCCACAAATGAAGAAATGTTTGTATTTCAAGAAAGGGTAAGAAACATTTTTTAATCATGTACTGTAGTAAGATGGTTTTTGTATGGTTGGTTGTTGCACTGGTGGAGATTGGATCCAGAGCCTCATGCGTGCTGGACACTGGCTCTGATACCCAAGCCATGTCCCAGTGATGACAAACCTTTTAGAACTTTCAGTATAACAAACAGCTGGCTACAGTACACATGCTGTAGGTTTGCCATCACTGCCCTAACCCCAAGGTAGCATACTTTCCACATGTAATAGTTCCACTTTTAAATGACCTGTTACTCAACCTAAATGCCCATCTACCAAAAAATGAATAAAAAAGACATGGCATTTTTTTATACAATGGAGTACTACTCAGCCACAAAGAAGGATAAACTGGAGACATTTCTAGGTAAATGGATGCAACTTGAGAACGTAGTGAAATAAAAGATATGTGAGTAAACATCGTATTTTATTAGTGTGAGAAGCTGAAAGAAGAAACATGTATATGTGTATGTATATGATATTTAAAAAATAGTTAAAATAGTTATACTACTGATTTCTTTGAGTTCACTAAAGAGAAAGATTTTTGCTGGTATGGCTCAGACAGTTGAATGCAAATATTTTGTGCCCTGGGTGAATGATTTGGGCATAACAGTGAGTGATGTACGTACCACTATTGACCCTGATTGACATGTTTTGAAATTTTTGTTATAGCTTTCTTTCTTCTTTTTTTCTTTTTATCTTTGAAATAAAATGAATTTGGAATAAATAAAAAAATAAATGACCTGTTACTAGTTAGTTAACTAAACAAGCATGTTTCTTAAATTCCTTAAATCTTTCCTTTCATCTTTATGCAGAAATGCTGGTTCATATTAAAGTATAACTACATTTTTAAAGGGTTGCTGCAAAATAGTTTTTAATTCTTCGGGGGTTAGTGTTAAACACATAAAAACAGAATAACTGCCACAACCCATGCAGCTCCTGAGGTTCCTGGGGTTAAGAACGGGAGAAAGTGAGAAAAACAAAGAAGAGACAAAGCTGGGGTCAGGTGGGGCCCTTACTTCCTTGATGGGAGGAAAGGAGCTGCTCAGCCAGTTCAGCCTGTTTGATTATATACCAGGAAAGAGATGTCAATTTCAGCCCCTCTGTCTAGCAACCCATTGCTTGCAATGTCTGGGAGCTTGGTGTTTTTCTGGGCTATAGCAGCTTCTTCATGTGGCTGACCTGAGCTCTTTGTTTTTTGGTAGTATCACGTCTGGGTCATACTCTAGATCAATTTCCAGCTTCAGCAGCTTCCAATAAATAACCTTAACATGTTGCAGATTTAACTCATCTTATTGTAAACATAATAAAGCACGTTTTCAGTTGGTAGTCATATTTTAGGAAATATACTATTACCATAATTTAAAATTAAAAAATAGGAAAATTGCTTTCCCCACAGATTTTGGAGTTTGCCAAAGTTACCTCATTCCAAAGCTTTAAATGATCTCTAGGGTAGGGGATTTAGCTCAGCCGCTCAAGTGCAAGGTTGTGAGTTCAATCCCCAGTACTAGAAAGAAAACCAAAAACAAAAAAAAATCTCTAGTTTTTGACTACTTTATTCATAGATAGTCAGATTTTCATTTGGTAATTATTAGAGAGGTCTATGACAAGCCAAAATCATTTCACTGTAAATTTATAGGTGAAAAGTAAGTGCTGTATGTACATCAGCATTTCAATTTAAGAAACATCAGCATTTCATAGTAATAATAATTTCTCAGGGAAATAATCTCAAGTATAATCCAGTTTTTTCTGTCCTTTTTCACTAACTCCAAAATATTTACATCACAGGTCTAAATCTCAAGAGGCTCTGCATTTTGACTGAGTCTCATTAAGAATTCTGTCTAGTTTATACAATCATTAGTAAAATTCACAGATTCATTAATGTTATGTAATAACCTCATATATCCTTAAATAGCAAATCTGAAATTTCAAAAAAGATACTTCCAGAATATTGTGACTGTGCAAGTAAAATGTAGTAATCCCTTTGGTAATTCTTAGGAGGAACTGTGTAAGAGCTCTTGTTTGTGAGCTTTAGATCTACTACTGAGCATATGGGTTTGAGGAAGAGTATTTTAATTATTGGTGACAAGGTAAAGGTATTTAGAGGATATGATAGTACAGTATATTTAATAGCTTTGGTTGAATGACACTAAATGGCTGAATTTGATGTATTTTTGCCTGTCAAGTTATATCTAGTTGCAGAATATGAAAGAGAATTAAATTGTATTGAGTTGGTATTTTGATCCAGAATCCCATGAGACATGCTAAAATGTCCAAAATAGATACTAAGGACATGATGAGGAATTGACTTTAAATTTCATTTATAGTATAAGAAAATTCCAAATATTAGTAAAGAATATTTTATGTGTGTAAGGATAACCATGAAGGTCTGATGCTCTGATATTGTTTAGATTGAAATAGAGTTTAATACTTGTTTCTCCATGTTGGTATTTGAGATTCTAAAACATCTAAACCCTAAAAGATTTTGTAATTTTGTTTTAATTATCTACGAATGTTTTTACACCATAAAGGAATGTTCTCATAGGAATTTTTTTGTTAATATTTGATTCTAGGAAAATCTTCCTGGGACAGAGGATTACTTTGTGAAACTTCAAGTTAAAGCTTGTGCCCTGAGCCAAATAAATACAAAGGTATTGGTGTTTTATAATGAAAGCCAAAAGTTAAATGAAAGTTTCATATTATATTTAATGTCCAAATATAATAACTGATGTATAAGTGCCAAGAAAGTATTATCCTAAGAAAAATTGAACAGGGGGCCAGGGATTTAGCTCAGTGGCATAAGTGCCTGCCTGATAAGTGCATGGTTGTGAGTTCGATACCTGATACCAAAAAAAAAAAAGAAAAGAAAAATTGAACAGGACAGATAAATAATATGCATTTGTATATTTCTACATTGAGGTAAGTTATTACTCTGATTGGCAATCATATATTTTATAGTGTGTTAACTTCTAGGGCCGGAGATTTAGCTCAGTGGCATAAGTGCCTGCCTTTCAAGCGTGTGGTCGTGAGTTCGATCCCCGGCCAAAAAAAAGATAAAATATTTTATAAACTTCTTTGCAAAATGTTGAGACCTTATAGTTACTAAAGCCTATAAAGGAATAGATCACCTCCCCTATACTATAAAAATGGAAGCTAGAAACCAAATCAATTAAGTTATTAACCACCAATCCTGTACATAATTCTAATTAATTTCTTTATATATAGTTCAATATTCTTCTTATTATTTCCCTTTCTCTCTGTCTATATATCTACCTCTGTCTCTCCATTTCCCTCCCTCTTCTCTCCTCTCCCAGCTCATAAATAGATATCTCCAATCTTGCACCATTCCACAGTAATCTATCATTATTGACTATAAAAATATATGAAAATTCTAAAAATGGTACACCTTGGTTAAATGTGCCATGGTAAGTAGAACATTTACTCTGTTGTTACCATTGTTTATTGGACCTTAAACTTACTAGATTGCAATGTGAATGTAATTTCTATAAAATTTCTGAAAGTGTTCTCTGATAAAGTCTAACAGAAAATTACAGAACAAGGTTATAGCCCTCCACTGAACAAATGTGTGAGATGAATATTACTTGAAACATGAATTTGTGAGCGTTCCTTGAAATCTTTTCACTAAGAATATAAATACTGGGGTCGGGGGGTTTTAGCTCAGCGGTGTAAGTGCCTGCTTGCAAACGTGAGGTCGTAATGTAAGTTCAATCCCTGACACCAAATAAATATATATATAAATACTGTTCAGTGTGGTGGCTCATGCCTGTAATCCTAGCTCTTGGGAGGCAGAGGCTGGTGGATTGCTGCAAGCTGAAGGCCAGACAGAAGTGCATAGCAAGATCCTGTCTCAAAAGAAAAAGAATATTAGTACTGATCCTTGTCTACAGATATCTATGTTCAGAAGATACTCTTTTTAAAAGCATGAGAAATCTATTAAAAATCCAAATCTAGGAAAGACGCACCTTAACAGAAAGAAATGATAAATTACGGTACAAGTCAGTTCAATAAAATAGTACATAATTGATAAACATAATGATTCTGAAAACTGCAGTAATATACAAAATCCTCATGGTAAATGAAGAATACAAAATACAGTTGTTAAAATCATGGTAAAAATATATATAAAAGGAGAATGTTGTAGTTTGTAGCTGTAATCCCAGCATTTAGGAGGCTGAGGCAGAAATACCATAGGTTCAAGGCTAGCCTAGCCTGCATAGTGAGGCCTGTTACTTAAAGTATGCAATATTTCTGTAAGAGTATCATGTGAACATCTTGAGAAAAGTGTAAAGTTCAGCACTGAAGAGATTTTTAGCAAGCAAGTATACATACAAGAGCTCTTAAAAAATAGAAAAAATATACAAGAAAATTGGTTGAATTACTTTATATTTGCTAGTAAAATAAATATAGGTATGTCTAGCATGTCTTAATATTATCATTGCAAAAACTTAAATACAGGTTTATCTCAGTAGACTCAGTTGAAAACAAAGACTTGGACCAGGGGTTTAAACTCAGTGGCATAAGCACCTGCCTGGCAAGCTTGAGATCGTGAATTCGGTCCCTAAAACAAAAAAGAAAAAAAAAAAAACAAGAAAAAACAAAAAAAGAAATAAAAAAAAGACTTAAAATGGATTTGGTTGGAATCTAACAAAATATTAATCTCTTAAAGCTGTAGCTTTAAAAAAAGAAACCTCAGGCTGGGGATTTAGCTCAGTGGCATAAGCGCCTGCCTTGCAAGCAGGCAGTCGTGAGTTAGATCCCCAGTACCGATAAAAAGGAAAAAGACAAAAAAAAAAAAAAAAAAAAAAGAAACCTCACTAGCTATTACTCTGAAAGCTACAGTAGTTCTTCTGTGAGTATCCACCACTTCTCCCCACCTGCTTCCTGACCCAAGGCTTGTGAGGAAAAGTCATGGCCTTAGTAGGGGCTAGGTGTGCAGAACTTTACTTCTCATTGGCCACATTTCCCTTATTCAAAATGTGCTCTCCAGACGCCCCTGCCTCACCTGAACAGTTTACTGAAACAGTGTGTAGCCAACCCAGAGAGGTTACATACTTGATAAAGGTGCTAAACAAAGGAAGTTACTGATTTGAATAATAATAAACTAACTCCCCAGTAAACTCTTGATTTCCTGCCCTACACAGAAACCTGTTTATCAAACAGATTATTTGCTTTGTCTTAATTCCAAATTTGAATCATAATTGCTTTTTCTGTGGTTTGATATTTGCTGTCATTTTTTCACATATGACAAGTCCAGGTTTATTCTTGACAATAATATGCTAACACCTTTCGTTATGATTTAGCTTCTGGCAGAAATGAAAATGGAAAAGGATTTCTTTCCTGTTGGGAGAGAAGTTTCTGGAATAGTATTAGATGGTAAGTTTACAGAAGTAAATGTTTATTTTGTAAGGTAAAAAAAATTGAATAGTAGCTAGTTGACCAGTAAAATCATATATATCACTTGAAATATAAACGTTAGTTATGTAAATTGTCCCTTTTTAAAATTAAGAATGGGGTTTAACTGTTGTAATTGCTGATTACAGTTCAGTAAATATTCAGGCCCATGTTTAAATCCACACATGGTTATAGTTTAAGCAGAATGATCAGTACTGTCCTTATATGATGTTCACAGACCAGCATAATTACTTGCATAAGTTAGCTCTGGGTCAGAATTTATAGACTCATCAGTAACCACATCAAAGTTTACCTAAAACTGAGTGTTTAAAAGTTAAACAGTAGGAAAAAAAACCAATCTTCTAATTTGTTTCTCAACAGACTTTTACTTGAATCTAAAGGGTGAGAAAGAGAGTTGTGTTGGAAATGTTACTTGAATTTTCATCATATAGATTGCATTCAAAATAATAAATTAAGGCATTTACCTAGAGAGTAGAGAGCAAGATGTGCAACAGAACCTTTCAGAATGGCACTTAAGGGATGACTGAAAGAAAAGGGCAGAGAAAGAACCCAAAAAGGGGTCAGAGCAATCACGAGAGGAAACATCTCCATGAGTGCTGGGCCATTTTGCTGACCGCTAGGCACAGGCCCACTTCCAGATACTTGGCTGTCTGTAAAAGAGGGAGAATATGAAATCCAGCATTTCATACACTTAATGTGTACTAATAAAAACATACTAAAAATAGGAAAAATAATATTTCATGGGTCTTTTGAGAATATTAAATGTGTGAATACAGTAAAATATAGGGCACAAGTATGCACCTAACGCTTTATTTTTTCCTCTTACAACTCATCAAACAATATTTAAGTGAATTTACATGTGGTAGAAGTTTTTTGTTCATATATACCGAGAAAAAGTAAGCATATCATTTCTGTAAAGTTCTAAAACTTTCTTGGTGCCAAGCTGCATTTATTTCCCAAGTCGATTTTATGTATGGCTCTCATTTTGCGGCTAAAATGATAGACAACCGAGTTAGCCAAGGGCTGGGTTGGAGTACAGTAGAGAACAACATAATCAGAGAGCTGTGGATCTTTTTGTTTGTTTTATTAGTAAAGTAAAAATTGAATTCAGTGACCTTATAATAGTAACTTAATTCTGTCCACTCTTTAGTCGGAAGCAAAGTATCATTCTTTCAACCAGACGATGAAGTAGTCGGTGAGTTGTAGTCTACGTTCTTATTTCAAGCCATCTGGCATCTGGCATCTCTTCTTTTTTGTCTGTCATTGTTAATGCTCATTATGACTTTGCTTCATATAAAAGGCCTTCCCTGGAATGAGGATGAAGTTTAGGTCACTCTTAAATGTTCACTGATGAAAAAAATAAGAGAGTCTGATCCCAATTAGCAGAGCATTAAAAGTTTGCAGATTATTTGGCTGTAAAGTAATTATGGATTTTTAAAAAAATAACTGTAGTGGCTGTGTGTCTGCTGTAGTCCTTTCATGACCTGTGCTGGGTCAAAAGCCAGACCGATGTCTCCAGGAAAGGGGGACATGCAGTGCTTGAAGGCCATTGACAGACTGAGCCACGTGGAGTCTCTGTGTTCACTCTGACTGCAACCTACAGAGCTCCCTTACTGCTCTAATAAAACTAAAAATTGACTTGAAACATTTAATATATTATTGTTTTTTAAAGCCCATATTTTATGCATACGTATTTTTTTTTTTTTTGAATTAGTATCCTAGGCAGTCACACAAACATACATAGAGTATAACTGTCATGGTAGTCTTTGGAATTCTCATGTCTTTTTTTTCTATATCTTTGTAGAAAATACCCATATGAACATGGAAAATGTTTAGCCTAATAATGTGCTTGACGCCACTAAAGAATCAATTTGTTCATGCACGAGGCCCTGTGTCCAATCCCCAGTACTGGAAAAAAAAACAAGGAGGATAGATTCATAAGGTTTTCTTCAGCTTTGCCCACGATTGCCTCTGACTCAAGTATTTTCCTGGAGAATTGATAAATTGTGGAGTTTGTTTGTTTCTTTGTTTTTTCTGTCCAGGAAGTCAATGGCATTCTGTATTACTCAAAATTTTTTGTTGAGAGATCAAAATAAAATCAGACTAGCTTAGGGGGAAGTGGGGTTTTGTTGGAAAACTAGCAGCGCTGTCCTGTGGGATTAAACTATGGGAAGGAAGCTGCATGGCAGAGATGCCTCAACCAAAAGCACAGCACCCCTGAGATTCCGACTTGGCTCCTGGCCATGATCTTTACTGTCCTTTCCACGTAAGGAAAGACAGGGGTAGCCCAGGGAGATGCAAGGCAAACTGTACTGAGATGCTGTGACCTCTGGTCGGTCATCAAGAATAAAGACCAAAGGCTAAGAAGAAGGCAGGGGTGGGGTGGGGGAGCCTGCTGGCAACCGTTGAGTACAACCAGTACTTAGTAACAGTACTCAGTGTGGTGGTTTCTCAAAAAGCTGAAAATTAGGGCTGCAGATTTAGCTTAGCCGCATAAGCGCCTGCCTGTCAAGCATGAGGTCGTGAGTTCAATCCCCGGTACCCCCCCCCCCACACACACACACAACTGAAAATAGAGCTGCCGTTTAAGCCGGCTGCATATCCAAAGGAATTAAACTGAGGGTGTCGTAGTGGTACCTGCATACCCATCATAACTGTTAATCCTGATATGTCAGCCTCATTGGAGTAAGAAATGCCTAGTGAGTTTGTAGGCACAGTCCTGGATGTGTGCTGGGTGCACCAGTAAGACCTTGGGTGCTGCTATAGGTGTGGTCCCTCGCCTGTTCCTCTTTGCCTTTGCTTTCCCCTCAGCTTCCCAGCTGCCATGAACTAAGTAGCTTTGTTCCAAACAGAACATCTTTTTTTTTTGACTTTTCATTATTTATTTCTTTTCTCTTTTTTTCTCTCTTTTTTCTTTCTTTCATTCTTTTTTTAAGTTTATTTTGAAAGTATACAACAAAACAAGACAGAGTAAAGCCAACTAAGATCATACAGTGAAACTGGTATAGAACTTCACAGCAGGTTACCGGGATAACGGTAATTGGTATCACAGTATATTTTGTTATCTTTATAATAGTTGTTCTTTCAATCACATATATCAAAATGAGATGAAATATAGAACACTATAGAACTTATCAAAACAGAATATTGAATAGAGCAGTACCATTAATCAGAAAAGAGCACAACAGTAATAAAAATATTTGCCTTCAAAGAGATGGTAGAAGGAAGTCCCCCTTACTTGCTGTGGTCAACCTCCCAGGAGCCACTCAGATTTCTGGTTCCCATTTGCTAACAGGGGGCAGTGGGGAAAGGAGAAGGTGGATAGGGGAAGTGGGATATTTGACTCTAGGCTGTATATCAGTAGGTTCACTATTGCTTAGCAGGGAGGCAGGCTGGTTGTTTGGTTTCACAGCATCCTAAGTTCCAACATGGTACAGATCTCAGGAGATGCTGCTGGTTCTCCCCCTGGACCAAACAGAACATCTTGATCCGGTGTTTCTTCTGTGGAGCCTTACTGACCATGTACCAAATCTCCTGGAACTGTGAGCTAAATTAAGCTTTGCCTGTATAAGTCATTGGTTCCCAATACTGTGTCTCATGAATGAGAAAGCTAATTCACCCATGTTTGTTGCAGCACAGTATACAATAAGGCAAGACAGGGAACCAGCCTAGGTGTCCATCAGTAGATGAAGGATAAAGTAAATGTGATAAATATGCCATGAAGTTTTATTCAGCCATGGACTATTGTTCAACCATTAAAAAGAACAAAATTTTGTCATTTGCAGTTGAAATGGATAGATCTAGAGATCATCATGTTGAACATTATTTGCCAGACCCAGAAAGAAATACTGTATGTTACTCCCTAATTTATACAAGTTTAAAAAGATGGCAAAGGGGGAAGACTATCATTAACAAGTAAGGCAGACGGGAAGGGTAAGGGGATGAATACGTTCAAAATACATTATCCACATTGAAATCCCCAAAAGAGTGAAATGAGGGAGAACAGCACACCAAGGATGATGGGGCAGGGATATTACAGAACATTACGTGAAACCCAGGATGAAACACATGCATCTGCATAACCAATATGCACTAATGAAAAATGTGGAGGAAAAAGGAGATGGTGCTGGTGTCACAGAGTTCATATTAGAAAATGTGGGGTCCACCTCCAGATTGCTGAAGTCTCCTTTCCCACAGTAGTAATTTCTACTGAACAAAACGTCCATGAATATGTTATTAAAAGTGAATTCATCTTGGGCATGGTAGCGGACACCTGTAATCCCAGCACTTGGGAGGCTGAGGCAGGAGGACCACTGCAAGTTCCAGGAAGCCTAGGGAACAAAGTGAGTTCAAGTCCAACCTGAATTGCATAGTGAAATCCTGTCTCCAAAAAGACCAAAAAAAAAGAGTGAATTCATTACTGGCTTGGTTCCCTTCACTTTCTTGTTTTAATTTTTGTAGGAATTTTGCCTCTAGATTCTGAAGACCCAGGACTGTGTGAAGTTGTCAGAGTACATGAGAATTACTTGGGTATGTGGCAGTTCACTCTTTGGTCTGTGATGTTGGTATAACTATTAGGCTGGCTATGAACATCGTAAACAAATGTTGGCTGGTCATGTGGCTACCTCTAGCATGTAACTTCATATATTCATAAAATTCAATGTGGCAATAAACAATATAGACCTTAAAGTTTTACCAATATTGCTTACAGTAAGAAAGCTTTCTGCACACAAAGTTTTCTGTTTAGGATCTGAAATTACCAGGACCCTTTAGTTACTTGCTTGTTTTTGTTGTTGCCATTGTGATTGTTTGTTTATTTTGGATATTGTCCACTCTGGCCTTAATGGCTTCAAACTTGCTATGTAGCTGAGGCTGACCTTGAACTTGTGATTCTCCTGCTTCAGCGTCCTTGGTGCTGAGATTATAGGCATGTGCCACCCTTTCCAGCTGCTCCTGATTGTTGTTGTTTTTGCCCTTTTTTTACCCCTCTGCAATCCTGGAGCTGAAACCCTGGGCCTCACACATGCCAGGCAAGCGTTCCACCCCTAAGTTACATGCTCTGCCACTCTTGATTTTTTTTCTCCAGCACTAAGGATTGAACTTAGGGTCTTCACACTCAGCTGTAACCCCAGCTGTTTTAATTACAAAAAATTTTTTCATAATTTTGAGACGGGGTCTTACCCAGGCTGGGCTCAAACTTACAATGCCTTTGTCTCAACCTCCCAGTGGTGGAATTATAGGCATGAGCCACCATGCTTGACATGCTTGGTTAATTGAAGCAAAAATAAAATCTAGGCAGTATATGTAGAGTCAAATAGGAAAGAATTGAGAAAATAAGTTCGGTTTCCATCGTTAACATCTAGTGTCTTTTGACTAATGTTCTTTTTTTATTTTTCCCATAGTAATTTACATTTTAAATATTTCAGTTTTAATGTCCAGATTATAGGCACATGCCTATAATCCTAGCACTCGGCAGGCTGAGGCAAGAGAATCACCATGAATTTGAGGACAGCCTGAGCTGCATAGTGAGTTCACATTTATCCTGAACTGCATAGCGAGGCCCTGTCTCAAAAAAATAAGATTGTAAAAAGTATATACATCCAGTATACACACACATCCATGAAGCCACAGTAAAAAGATGCCCCATCACCTGAGTAATTAGAGAAAAGCAAATGACACCTCTTAGAGCCTGGGTGTGGGGATGAGTTCCTGTAGTCCCGGCTGCTGAAGAGGCTGAGACAGCAGAACGGCTTAAACCTGGGAGTTCAGAGTGAGCCTAGGCAACACAGTGATACCATTCTCTAAAGTTTTTGTTTTAAAACTACGTGGTGATTCTGATAACAGCATTAATGTTTAAAGTGACACTATACCAAGTATTCTATACTGACAGGCGCCATGAAACTTTATGCACCAAGAAGCTAAGTGATAGCTGATGTATTAGGAAGTCACTTAGCCTTATTTAGAAAAGGAGATGGTACGTACATCCCAGATGTACTAATTCTGGAGGTAAGACAGGAGTTCATTGTGATGTGGTTTTTAATAGAGAAGGAAACTGAAAACAGTCCAAATGTCCATCTGCCAGAGAACAACCAACTAAAAAACATTACACAGAGTGAAATCTGCATTGCCTGGGCAATGATGAGGCTCACAAGCAAATTGAGTTTAAAACCAAATCACAGCCAGGCAGGGTGGTGCACACCTGTAATCCCAGCACTCAAGAGCTTGAGGGAGGAGGATCGTCCTAAATGTTTCTGAGGCCAGCCTGATCTACATGATGACACTCAAAAAAATAAAAGCAAAATCAAAGTGCAACCGTTGGGCATGCCACATGGCCCTGTAATCCCAGCACGCAGAAACTGAGGCAGGAGGATGGAAAATACGAGCCTTGCCTGGGCAACTTAATGCGGCTGAAGAGGCTGAGCCAGCAGAATGGCTTAAACCCGGGAGTTCAAAGTCAACCTTAGTCTTAAAGGCATTTTTAGAAAGGCTACGGGTGTAGTTCAGTGAGAAGGCCCTGGATTCAATCACTAGTACCACAGAAAAATAAATATTTAAATCTAAGTTGCAGTTAGGTGTGGGGGTCCATGCCTGTAATCTCAGCACTTTGGGAGGCTGGGGCAGGAGGACTGCAAGTTCAAACCCAGCCTGGGCATCTTAGCAAGACCGTATGTCAAAGACATGAATTCGAGCATGTAGTATTAAAGACAAAAAGAAGAGGATACAGACTTAGGTGGGGGTTACCGTGGAGGACATGCAGGGAAGTGTGATCAGGAGAGTACACAAGGACTGGGGTGACACAGCCAGGGTGTGTGTCTCATGGTGACGCATTATATTGCTCTTCATACTATTTCTGCAGGTCAAAGTATTGATTTGTGCTCTTAAACTATTTCATTAAAAGTTTTCTAAAGTGTTGTCTTAAATGATGTAATCTCTAATCCTACCTTTTGAGGAGAGAAGCTAATTTGTATTTTGGATTACCAAAACCAGTAAATTTATACATCCCAGCCCATATAGTAATTTGAACAAGCAAGTATTTCATAAGATTTCATGTCTAAATTATTAAGTAAGTCATATTTAAATTAATGGCATAATTGCACCTAAAATGTTCAAGTAATTCTATGTCTTATTAAAAATTAATTTTTAAGGGGCTGGGGATTTAGCTCAGTGGCATAAGCACCTGCCTTGCAAGCAGGCGGTCGTGAGTTCGATCCCTGGTACCGATAAAAAAAAAAATTAATTTTTAAAAGATCATTTTCTAGAAATCTTAAACCTGTGCCTAGTTAGATATGTACTAAGGCAAGATACAGACTTGTGTATCCACAAGTCTTTGGAAAGACAAATATCTCTTTCAAACGCTATACAGTGGGAATCTCTGATCCATAGCTGTTTCAAGAAGATTGTACAGTTTGAAAACCGCACAGTCGTGATTCCTTGTGTGGCCCTTATTATCCTGTTCTTTTGAGAACTTTGTGAAGATGAGGTCAGCTAAAACCTTGGATTTGGACTCCCAGGCTTCAGTTTTTACTAAGTAACCTAAATTGCTATAGAAAGTGAGAGCTTATGGAAACACCAGTAGACAAGACCCACTGCTTCAGGCATTGATGAATATCGGAGAATTATAATACGGACCAGAAGAAGAAAAAGCAGATTAGAACATCAGTATCCTGAAAGTTTAACCTAATATGGGCAAGCCATACAAATGACCTTTTATTTTCCTGCCTATTCGTAAATCAAAAGGATGGACTATACTCCATATAATCCATCAGAGTAGTGGAAAAAACAATACAATGTCTCTTCAGAAGTACTTTAAGAAAGAACACTGCAGTGTGGCTCTTTTGAGCTCTGAGAAGTCTGACTGTCCCTGACTGCGAGTGCACTCAGCTGGGTCACCTCTACACTCTGCAGCACCAACATTTTAGGAAAAGGGAATCATCTCTGTATGTCTCAAAAACTCCATGGGAGAAAATTTTATTCCCACTCAACCCTGAGTTTCTGTTAATTCTTTGCCTACTACTTGTTGACAGAGAGCAGAGCACTCAGTCCTCTTCAACCCAAATGAGTCTGTTCTTTCACCAAACCAAGGAAGAAGGTTCTAAACAACCTCCCAAAATGTGCTTGCTGTTCATTTTATGCAACATTGATGGCACAGTTTAGAGATTAAGTACTTCTTCCAGTTCTTTCCTACTTTCAGTTCTTAAGCCATTCTGTCAAAATTTTTCATTCAAAATTTGACACACATTTCAGGTCCATCTTTTTATTGTATCTAAATAAGAAATAAATGAGCCAGCCTGGTGGCACATGCCTATAATCCCAGCACTAGGGAGGCCGAGACAGGAAGATCACTACCAGCCTGGGCTACAGCATGAGCTCAAAGCTAGCCTGAACTGCATAGCAAGACCCTGTCTCAAAAAGACAAAAAAGAAAAGAAAATGAAATTACAATTCTTAGTACTGATATAATTAACCTACACATGGCTTTTATTTAGTTTTTATAATGTAGTGAACACCCCATTGACTACCTAACACAAAAACAAGGATCTTAACTCACTTTTAATGATGCAACTTTACAATCTTTGATTTTTTTTTTAAACAAGGTCTCACTATGTAGACCACACTCGCCTTGACTTCAAGGCAGTCCTCCTGCTTCAGTCTCCCAAATGCTGGGATTACAGGTTTGTGTCTCACACCTGACAGAATCTTTGAAATCTTCAGCCCAGTTTTACTGCCATTAGTGGTAAGGACTGCATGATTGATAGTGCGATAAAATGTAGTAGACTCAACTCTTAAGATGGAAATGCTCCCGAAGACCGAATAAACAAGTAGGTTGTACAGAGGTGAAACATGAAGTGTTGAGTAGACATGCTTTAGAGCCATGCACCCACCTTGTTTGCCTGTGTGGCCATGTGTCTGATTATTGTGGAAGATACTTAGGAAGGGTGTGAGTAGCAGCCAGCTGGGGACAGTCATAGAGCATAGGCGCTCCATCCCTGTTGAGTTGGGGCAGCCATGCTCCCAGTGTGTAGATGAGTTCACATTCCCGCAAGCTCACAAGGTAACCTGGCAAGACTCTGAACCGTCTTTTTAAATGATTTTAAATGGCGACTTCATTGCATAGGCAGGATGAAAGCATGGGTAACCATGTGATTAGACAGAAAGAACATTACCTCATGTTAAAAGACCAGGTGGAGAAACTCAGCAAGCCCTCTGTGTTCAGAATCTTCTTGGCCTCTTTTTGCAGCATTCTTTACTCCCAGAGATGGGGCCAGACCCCTATGGAATGGAGGCCTTAAGATCTACTTTCAGATAAGGTATGTCAGAATTTTTTAGTTGACGATTTAGCTCAGAAGCATAAGTGCCTACTTAGTAAGTGTGAGATCTTGAGTTTGATCCCTGGAACTAAATAAAAAAATAAATAAACATTTTAATAGAAGGTAAACATATTTTTAAAAGAATTTTTTTATGGCCAGGCCAGTGCCAAGACAGACCAGAAAACATAATATACTTTTAGTCTCTCTAACTTGCCTCAGGGAAAAGAATTTCTAGACTTTTTTCTGGGGACAAAAAGAGTAAATAAGGGAAAAAGAAAAAAGAGGCACAGACAGAGACGGACTTGCTATCCAAGGCTAAAGCATTCAGCCTTGGAGAGCAGTATAAGTATTATAAAAGGCTTTGACCTTTATTGCTCTGAAGCTGCTTGACAAACCATGACAAAAGACAGACAACAAAAATGTTCTCATTGAGCTCAGCGTGGTGGCGCACACCTGTAATCCTAGCACTTAGGAAGCTGAGGCAGGATGATCACTTGTGAGACCAGCCTGGGCTACAAATGAGCTCAAGGCCAGTATGAACTGCATAGCAAGACCCTGTCATGTCATGTCTCAAAAAGACAAAAAAAAAAAAAAAGTACTTACTATGCTTATTGTTCTAGTCATTTAGGAAATAACAAGGGCTATGGGAGTTATGAGCCAGAAACCAAGAAAGAAGCACCACAGAAATGGATCTGTATCCTAGCTGTCTTAAAGAATTGCACAGGAAATGAAGCACTGTGATACCTGGTGCTTCCTGTGTTCTTGCACCCTACTTGGCTGCCTGAATGGTTCCAACATGTTTGTCTGAATGCCCCCGCTTTCTCACTAGATGGCGCTGGAATGCTGTTGATACGATGCTAATGCCCTGTGCGGACTCCATCTGAATCTATTGCCACATTTGGAAGAGCTAGTGTGGGCTGCAAAGAGCATAATAAGTTGGTGTGAGATAAAATGAGAAAATATTGCTTGAACTGTAAAAAAATCATATTCAGTTTACAACATGAAGACAGAAACTTAATAGTGAAACATGCTGAGGTATAAGATGGTCAAATTGCATAGAACTTCTTCTTTTTTTTATTTTTATTTTTATTCTTTTTGTCTTTTTCCTTTTTACCAGTATCAGGGATCGAACTCACGACTGCCTGCTTGCAAGGCAGGTGCTTATGCCGCTGAGCTAAATCCCCAGCCCCTGCATAGAACTTCTTAAAAGAGTATGCATTTTGTTGTAAATGCATTGGAAACCTATCGATTTATTTTTTTCCACAGTACTGGGGACTGCATCCAGGAAGTACTGAATGATATAGGTAACCATTTTGATTTTTAGTTTGAGATAGTGTCTCATTAAATTGTCCCAGGCTGGCCTCAGACTTGCCATCCTCCTCCCTCAGCCTTTAAGTAATGGAATTATAACCCACAACGGATTTTAAGCAGAGAAACGTTAGGATATTCCTTATGTTTAAAAAGTATCATTCCAACACTTATTTTCAGAGTCCATTCCAGTGATTGATAAGAAAAAGCATAAAGTTCAATACAGTTGATCATGATAATCTGAACACAAATATACTTCAAAATCTAAACCTTTGAGTACCAACATAGTGCCACAAGTAGAAAGCTTCATAGATGATCTCATGTGACAGGCTGTAGACAAATGCATGCCAAAAATATTGTATAAAAAAAGAAAAATATTGTGTAAAATTTCCTTTGAGCTATGTGTATAAAGTATACAGGAAAGTTAATGAAATTTCATGTTTAGACACAGGTCTGTACTCACAATAGCTCATTATATAAATATGCCAAAATATAGTACACTTCCCATCTGGAGCATTGCAAATAAGAAATTGTTAACTTGTATTTACAGCACAGAAATGTACATATGCAATATACTGAACTGTATGAAATGTTTTTGTGTATCAATTAAGAAAAAGACTAGGACATTTGACAAAGACTTGGCCGCTTAAAGGAATTTCAGAAAGCCAACAAACCTGGGAAGACACTCAATCTTTTTAAGAAATCAGGAGAAACACAATCACAATCAGTAAGAAACCTTAATATGCCCCTATGTAGGAAAAAATGAATAAATCTGTTGAGGGTCGACAGAGGCTTTGATAGCACAGGATACTGCAAACTGATACAAGCACTCTGAAAGTGTGGTGTAAGGTAAAGGTGATACACCCTGACACCTGGAATTCCTGCTCTAAAGTAAGTACCTTGGTGAAAATCTTGCAAGAAAATCATCCTATATTAACATTCTGGAGCTGGGAATATAGCTCAGCAGCATAGTGCCTGCCTGGCAAGCTCGAGGTCCTGAGTTCAATTCCTGGTTCCTTCCCCCCCCCCCAAAAAAAAGATTCTTCATAGTGGAATCCGTCAAACAACAAAAAGAAAACCAGGTGTGGTGTTGCACACCTGTAATTCCAGCACCCTGGGAGGCTAAAGCAGAAGGATTACACGCTCAAGGCCAGCCTGGTCAATTTAACAATTTAGATTCTGTCTCAAAAATAATAAAAAGAGGGGCTAGGGATTTAGCTCAGCAGCATAAGCACCTGCCTTGCAAGCAGACAGTCGTGAGTTCGGTCCCTGGTACCAATAAAAAACGAAAAAGACCAAAAAATAAATAAAAAACAATAATAATAAAAAGAGACTGGAGACATAGCTCAGTGCAATGACCCTAGGTTCAAAGCACAGCAGCACCAAAAATGAATGAAAGAATGCACCGCAAGAGCCTCCCAAATGAAAGGACGCAAAAAAGAATGTATCCTAAAAACATGCAAAAGGCAAGACAGAAAAAATGCATAAAACAGTTCCATCCTGGTAAAGTTCGGTACCACACAAGATTAAATGACATGGTTTAGGAATGCATATGGAGTCCTCAGCCTGGGGCGACCTCTGGTGGGCAGAGAAGGGGCTGCTGACGGCATAGTTGAGCAGGGTTTTAGGGTTCCTTGGCTTTAGATACCAGTGTCCAAGCTTCCCAAGGCCCGCTTCCATCTCTCAGGAGCGAGAGTTCAGCATTGGGGTTTGTTCCTTTGATTTTGTATTTGCTTTTGCAGTATTAGGGCAAACTTCTTTTTAAAGATTTTTTTTATTTTGAGACAGTCTCTCCCTGCATCACTGAATTGCCCAGGCTTGGCTTAAACTTTCTGGGGGAGGCAGGGTATTGAGACAGGGTCTTGCTGCGTTCTTCAGGTTAGCCTTCAACCCACCATATAGCCCACGATGGCCTTGAACTAAGGGGTCCTCCTGCCTCAGCCTCTTGATTGCTGGGATTTTGGCTACTGTCACCACACCTGGCTACATTTATTCTCGTACTTTGTGTTCCCTATGTTTTGGGCATATATTCTGTTTCACAGTAAAGGTTTTGAGAAATATACTCACCTTGGTTCCTATCTTGAGAATGGATTATACTCATACATGGGGAAGGATTTAAACAAGGAAACTATAAAGCAGGTGACAAATAACAGAGTTTGGGCTTATATTGTACTGGGCCTGTGGTAGCAGACATAGAAATGAATCTAGGAGGCAGTTTTTCTAGTGGGACTTGCTAATGATTTATTTCCTCTTCCTCTTTGTGACAGTTCATAAACCAGAAAAGGTCACATGGACAGAAGCAGCTGGAACCATTCGGGATGGAGTCCGAGCCTATACCGCTCTACACTACCTTTCTCATCTCTCTTCCGGAAAATCAGTGCTGATAATGGATGGAGCAAGTGTATGTGCATTGGCTTTGTTAAGAAGCAGACTAACAGCTAGGGAATTAGCTCAGCTGTCTAAGTGCCTGCCTGGCAAGCACAAGGTCATGAGTTTGACCCCCAGTACCCAAAAAAGAAAAAGAAATGGACTAACATACAATAAATGTAGAGAATTTAGAAATGAACCATCTGTTTGCCAGTTCCTTGCCAACACATTATTAACTGATTCCTTTATCAGTCTCTCATTTTGTTATCATAAAGAGCTTTCATAATAGCTTTTTTAAAAGACAGGGTCCAGGATGGATTGAAACTTGAAATTTTCCTGCCTCAGCCTCCCGAGCCGCTGAGATCACAGGCCTGTGCCAGTGCACCTGGCTATTTTCTAATTGCTTTGAATCTTCTAAGACATTAAAAAGCAAACTAGATCCCCTCCCCCAAGAGCTGGGGACCAAACCCAAGGCCTGTGTATGCCAAGCAAGCACTCTATCAATAGGCTGCACTCTCATTCAGGCCACTTTTATTCATTCCTGTTACATCAGCCTGAATAGCTTGTGAGTCCTTGAATTCATACTTCAAAATTCCTTGCCAGTTTGGTATCTAATCCCTGACAATTACGTGGATAAAGTGTTGGCATTTTATAGGTGGATCACACACAAGTTCAAAATGCACTAATTTAAACATGTTTCATATATCATCAAAAAAAAAATAGTTGAAACCATGCGTGGTTGTGATCTCAGCTGCTCAAGAAGTTGAGGCAAGAGGAACTCAAGTTCAAGGTTAGCCTGGCAACTTAGCGAGAGCCTATCTCAAAATAAAAAGAAATGGGGATGTAGCTTCAAAACAAAAGTTAAGGGCTGGGGATAGCACTTGCCTGGCAAGTGCAAGGTCCTGTTAAAGATACTAATACCTTAAAGTATTATTTTTTAAAATTTTTAAATTTTGGCTTGGATTTATGGTTTTATTTTCTACCTGGCTGTTGATGCCTTCTGCCTGGTGTCCAGCATCAGGATAATATTGTTTCCTTGAGCTTATTACCCCCTGGGTCCCAAGAGATGGAACTTTAAAGCACTTTACTGCCCGAACTCCCCTGCAGGAGCTGGGTAATCAGCCAGGCCAGCAGCAGGACAGGCCCGCTTTTCTCTTTCTGGCTATGATGCCTAACTTGGCCCAGTATCCTTGCCTTGACACAGATAACTTTACCACCACTGCTTCTGAAGGAATCAGTCAGATATTTCCACCACTAAATTTATATGTGATTTTTTTTTTCTTTCCCTGTTACATAGCATTTTAAAATGCATCATAGGAACAGTAAAAAAAGGGGGAACTTTTTTTTTTTTTTTTTTGATACCAGGGATCAAACTCTTGACCTCGTGTTTGCCAGGCAGGCACCATGCCATTGAGCTATGTCCTTGGCCAAACCCTTTTTTTTTTTTTATTTGAGCTGGGGTTTCGCTATGTAATTCAGGCCAGCCTCCCAAGAGCTGGGGTTGCAGGCATACTCCACCACACCCAGCAAGAACAACACTGTGTTAAACAGTCTTTAAAGTAAGATAGGTGTGGCCTCTGCACGACGTGTGTTAATGTGCTGCGTGTGTTTTCACACAGGCGTTCGGCACCATCGCCATTCAGTTAGCGCACCACCGGGGAGCCAGAGTGATCTCAACAGCATGCAGCCTGGAGGACAAGCAGTACCTCGAAAGATTCAGGCCTCCGATAGGTGGGTAACATCCCTTGACAAAGACTTTAGGCCCTGACATTTTATAAGGAAATCAAAGTCCCACATTGGTATAAAGCAAAGTACACAATGCCAAGTGAGTCACTTTTTAAAATGCTCTCAGTATCTGGGCTGAATCCAAATTTACTTAAGGATAATTATTTAAGTTTTTAAAACCTATGTCATCTTTGTGTTTTTCTTTGTCTCATTGTTCCAGCTTCCCCAGGCTTACATTAAGTGAAGTTTAGCAAAATTTAGCAATACATGTTTCTTCTCTGGTTTCAGTGAATAAAATCAATATATTTCTACATCACTTGGTATGTTTCTCAACTTCTTTTACCCTTTAAAATGGTCTGTTTTCTGGGATACACTGGAAAGGCAGATGATCTTTGTACACAGATGTACGAGTCAGGGGGCCAGAGGTTTAGCTCAGTGGCTTAAGCACCTGCCTGGCAAGTGTGAGGTCATGGGTTCGATCCCCGATACCAAAAAAAGAAGAAGTACAAGTCAGTTTCAGATGAGCAGTATGTGGTAAAGGCTGCTGACATCCAGGCAGCAGTGAGTACGGCAAGGAAGAAGGAAATAAGAGACTAAGAAAAGATAAATAAAAAGGAGTGGAACCAGGTGTTTAGCTCAGCAGCACAAGTACCTGCTTGGCAAATGCAAAGTCATGAGTTCAAGCCCCAGTACCAAAAAAAAGGAGTGGAGAAAGGAATGGAGAAACAAACAGATGCAGAACAAAGAGGACAACCAGAGCATAAAGCAAAGGCAGGAAGGAAGGAAGTAAAACTGCCAAGGCGATGTAAGTTTTCTCTCGTGTCCTCAGCATACTGGGGCCGGACGACTGGGAACAGCTTCTCAGAATGTGACTTGTTCCCCTGTGGAAGGACTGTCTTGGTCTTGGACCCTGACCTGCCTGACACTGAAGTCCGCACTCCCACTGTTGCCTTTTGTGTCTGGCAGAGATAACTAAGGGATGGAAGGAAGACAGTAAATACAAGGACTAAGACAGAGGAAAACAGACTTGGAAATAGGACGCGGAGGACTGGGCTTGTCAGTGAGTGGCAGAGCACTTGCCTAGCGGTGTGATCTCCAGCACCGCAAAAAGAATAGACAAAACAGAATGAGAAAGAGACAAGGGTAGCGGGGAAGGCAGTTTCTTCTGGTTCTGCTCTTCCCTTCTGTCTTCCTGCTCTCCTTGTCCCTCCCACACCCCACATTAATGTTGTACTACACTTCCAATCTAAGCAGCTCTGTGAGGAATTCTTTTCAACAAATGGAGTATATACATTTAACAGCAAGTAATAACACGCAAAACATAAACTCATCGTTGCTACTTCAATTGCATTTCAGTCCTCCCCATTTATAGCGTCTTATTAATAAATTAACATGCTGCCAGGCGTGGTGGCTCACGCCTGTAATCCCAGCACTCGGGAGGCTGAGGCAGAAGGATCGTTTCGAGTTCAAGGCCAGCCTGGGCTACAAAGTGAGCTCAAGGCCGGCCTGAACTGCATAGCGAGACCCTGTCTCAAAAAAGACAAAAAAATAAAATAAATTAACATACTTACTTTTTCTTTTACTAATAAAAATTTTCCTTTAATTAGTAAAAGAAAAAGTAAGTATGTTAACATATTAATAAAAATTTTAACTGGCTTAACAACCAGTTAAGCCAGGCACGCTGATGCACAGTCATAATCCCAGCACTCGGGAGTCTAAGGCAGGAGGATTGCCATGAGTTCAAGGATATCTTGGACTACGTGTAATCGAAGTTCAGGGCTACATGGCCTACATAGTGAGATCCTGTCTCAAAACACCCCCAAAAAATCATAACCAGTAAGAATTTGCTAAAAATAATCTTTTTCCTTACCTTTAGAATTTTTCTCCATTTTGGGGAGCAAGGGGAGAGATGGTAGATTTCTACAACTGACAAAAGATAAAACATCTAGTAGATACCATACTGCATAAATGTATTTTCGTATTTTTAGCACTAAACAGTCTCAAATCTAAATACATGTAAGAAACTGTCAGACCCCCTTTCATGTCATACCACGCGTGGGGTGTACCTACCCCCTTGCCCTCACAGGCTTGGGTCTGGCAACGTTTCCTACAAGTGCACAGGTAACCTGCTGTGTCAGCAAACTAGCCTTGGGCCTCCTTGTCCCAAAATGCCCACGTTTTCACTTTTTGAATATACCAGTACCTTCTTTTAGATTGAGCTGATGAGAAAGAATATAATTGGAATTGACTTTTCCCATTCCAACTCAGTAATTGTTTGAACTGCTTAACTCATTTCAGAGAACAGGTATCCACATGGTTGTGTTCACCTTTTCCCCTGATGTATTTGTGTTTGGTCTCGTAGAGGACAGTATGATTGCCTGACTTCCTGCCTTTTCCAGCTCGAGTGATTGACATCTCTGCTGGGAAAGTCCACATTGCTGAGAGCTGTTTGGAAGAAACAGGTGGCCTGGGAGTAGATATTGTGCTAGATGCTGGAGGTGGGTACTGTGAAATCTGAAGGTAGTCTGTGTAACTGTTTTAGTTTGATGAATTTCAGAGAAAAACCCAACTATAGGGAATAACTGAATGTACTTATTGAACTTTTGATGTGAGGCTTTGTTTTTGTATGAAGTTTTGCTTTTTGGGCTTTGGTTTTGGTTTTTGAGTACTGGGTATTGAACTCAGGACTTCATGTATGCTAGGCAAATTACTGCGAGCTACATCTGCAACCTGAGGCTTTGTTTTTAACTAAACACGTGTCTGTTTAAATTGGACCCTCATCAGTTTATTCCCATTGTAACCCTTGTCTAACTGGAGAAGAGGCTGTGTTTGTCTTTGAAAGCATAGGCCTTAGGGCCTTGGGTGATGTCACACACCTCCAAGGCTGAGACAAGAGGATTGCTATGAGTTTGAGGCCAGCCCAAACTACATAGCGAGACCCTGTGTCAAAAACAATAAATATGTAAAGCATAGGTCTTCAAGTTTAACTAACAAATGATGTATTTCTATAAAAAACCTAAGAGTGCACTTCGCACAGCTGCTTCCAGGTGCTTAGTGACTCTCACGTGCCACATGTGGCTGCCTGTTTATTGCATGGTTGACTTCTGTGCTCTCTGCTTACAGTACACATGGAGGTTTGCTCCATTTTCTCTTTCTTGAACTTTTTTAGTATCTATTTCATAGCAGCTAATCTGTACATACTTAGGTGATACCATCACTTCTAAAGGATTAGTGCAAACAGCCTGCAAAGTGCTTCTGTTTATACCTTGTAAACACAGCCTTGGCCATCATGGATGTTTCTTTTAGAAGAAAAAACACAAAACTTTTTAGGACAGACTGGTAAGCCTAGCACTCTGGGAGGCCGAAGCAGACGCACTGGAAGGTCAAGCCTAGCCTAAGCAACTTCATGATTTAGCAAGACCTTGTCAAAGTTCTTTTAAAAAAGACTTGGAGAGCTGGGCATGGTTGTGCACACCTATAATCCCAGCACTCAGGAGGCTGGGGCAGGAGGATCACTGAAGGTTAGAGGCCAGTCTAAACTACATAATGAGACTATCTATAAATACATGAATGAATGAATGAATGAATGACTTGGGATGTGGCCCATTGTGAAGGGATCAATCTACAGTGCCAAAAAAAAAAAGATTTAAAATTAACCCAGCAATCGAATGAATATATACTTCATTGACATTTTTAAAAATGTATTATTTTCAGTACTTACGTCAAAGTTTAACTACCTTGAGTCTATAATGTTCTAATTCCAAAGCAACTCATTCCATTATATTAGGCTATGTTGTTATAATTAACATTATAACATTACACTGTTTCCTTTCCAAATACAAGTAAACTATATTTAATTTATTTCATTTATTTTTAAATATAGGAAAATTTTATGACCAGTTATATTGCAAAAAGTACAGTTTAAGATACTTGATTATGCTGCATGTTGCCTTTTTTGAGAAACATGCTTTGCATTCCTGTATTAAAAAGTGAAGAACTTGAATAAACTTAGTTGAAGTATTTTAAAATATATTTCTTCTCTCTTTTTTAACTCTTATAAGTGAGATTATATAGTAATGATGATGAACCACCTGTAAAATTACAGCTACTGCCACATAAGCATGATGTCATCACCCTTCTTGGTGTTGGAGGCCACTGGATAACAGCAGAAGAAAACCTTCAGGTATTACCAGAAGCAGAAAAGCATTACTATTGCACCAAAGGAATGTAATTCACACAAAATAAGGCCTAATTCTTATTTGAGGCAAGGTCTGGCTCAGTTAGTATTAAATTCTGAATTTAACCTTACATTTAAAGAAAGGTAGCTTTGTTTGGTGTGGTGTTTATGTTGGTCAAAATGTTGAAACATTACCTAGTAAGGGAGTTCATCCAGTCAGAATGAATTACAATTATATGTGTTGAGTTAAAAATAATGGCTTATATCCTGCAGAGTCCTCTGAGAATACCAAAAAAAAAAAAAAAATAATAATAATGGCTTATGGATTTTTACTGTAAGTCTGACATCTGTGTCTTTTTTTTTTTTTTTTTTTTTTTGATCCTGGGACTCGAACTCACGATCTCTTGCTTGCCAGGCAGGCACTGTGGCTGACTCCTCAGGCCTGACTTTTGAATTTTTAAATTCTATTTCAAGTATTTTTGTCCTAGTAACAAATGTTGACAAAATATTTCTGTGTAAGATTATTACAGTTTGCTAGTATGGAAGTTGTAATTATTACGTATATGCACAGATAACTCCCAAAGTTACATTTTGCAACAGTTATACTTAAATAGTTACATCATAGTTATGCAAGTCCTATGTTTCTTATATGCGGGTCTTTACTGACTTTACAATATAGTCATGAAGGCAGCTGCTGAGTGAAACAGCAGAAGCCACACAGATCCTCAGCACTGGTTCCCCCGTGCTGTGTCAGCTTTGCGTCTGCCTTATCCTTGCACCCTGCTGTTTTATGATTTTGCACCATGAAATAGAAAACAGTGTAAGTGTGCTGATGTTTTTTGTAACTTAGACATTAACTTGTGTAGAAGTTTTGTGGTTCAAGATACCAAGCATCCTCCTGCTGTTTAACTCACGGTAATTGATTGGTCTTTATTTATTCTGTTGAAGTTGGATCCTCCAGATAGCCATTGCCTTTTCCTCAAGGGAGCAACTGTGGCTTTCCTAAATGATGAAGTTTGGAATTTGTCAAATGCACAACAGGGAAAATACCTTTATATCCTTTTTTTCTGGTTGAGTTTCTAACTTAAAGTGTATCTTGTGCTCTGCTCACAAATTCGTTCACTATGGTAAGAAATGATAATTAGCTGCTCACTTTCCTTGCATACGCCAAGGTGCTCCAGATGCCATGCAGGTTTTCATTTAAACATGAGAACAAGCCTGTGAGCTTGTAAGTAGTATTATTATCTCTGTTTTGAAGGGAAGAAACTAAGTCATAGATAGAGTAGCACAGCCCCAGGGACACAGCTGTCAAGTGGAAGAACAAGTCACACACAGGCATTCTCCTTCCTTCCTGAGTAGGCCATAAACAAAGTGGACAATTTTGTTTTTCACGTGACCGTACACATTCTACTTGAAAGGCTGCACAGTTACCACACAATGGTACCAGTGCATAGAACATTTTAGTGTGCTCATCTGTAGGAGAGTTGGTTTCTACAAATATCAGTGCTGGGAAATCTTCATAAAATGAGGATGCATCTGTACTTTTTAATTTATTTATTTATTTAATGGTTGATTTTTGAGTGTCAACCTGATCTGTAGAGACCTACATCTCTATTCCTTTTTATTTTGTATTTTAAGATAAAGCCCTGCTAAATTGCCCAGCCTGGTCTCAAGTTTGCAGTCCTCCTGCCTCAGCTACCTAGTAGCTGGGCTTATGGACATGCACCCATATCCAGCCATGTCTGATTTTGTTTTTTTCTAGTGTTTTGTTTTGTTGTTTGAGACAAATTCTTGCTATGCAGTTTAGGCTGCCCTTGAAACTCACTAGGTAGCCCAGGCTGATCTCAGATTAGTGTCAGTCCTCCTGCCTCAGCCTCCCCAAGGCTGGGATTATAGATGTACGCCACCACTTCCAGCTCTCTATAACTGATTTTTTTTTTTTTGTCTTTTTCCTTTTTATCAGTACCAGGGATCGAACTCATGACTGCCTGCTTGCAACGCAGGGGCTTATGCCGCTGAGCTAAATCTCCAGCCCCTATCAAAATACTTAATTTTTATATTATTTCAATTGTAGTGGCACAATTAACTGTTCTACAAATTTTGAGCATGCCAGCAATCAGATTAATCTATAAATGTATACATACCTAATGTCAGGACTAAATACTAGCCATAGTGCAGAAGTTAATGTGCATTATTCCATCCTTTGGGGTAACAGTGATCATCAGTTGGGCACTGGGCCTGCTGGTCTCACCACTTGTTCCATTATCCCACCAGCCATTTCACATCCTTTCTCTGCCTTGGAGATAGACTGACGGCTCACTGAATTTCTGTAACACTTAGCATTTCTGATAGTGCAGAACTCTGAGAGAGTGAAAAGGTGACCTGCCTAGCTAGCATCTTCTGCTTACTGGTTTTATTTAAATTGTTTCTCCTTTCGTATTGCCTTAACAATCCTTCCAGCCACGCATCTTAAAAGAGGTGATGGAGAAGTTATCGGCTGGTGTTTTTAGGTATGCTAAAGTAATCAAATTGTTTCTGTCTACTTTCCTGTTCTCTGGGGGATATGGTGGGTATTTCATTTTTGTTGCTGCTTTTTTTTTTCTTTTTCTTTTTTATCGGTACCAGGGATCGAACTCACGACCACACACTTGCAAGGCAGGCACTTATGCCACTGAGCTAAATAAATCCCCAGGCCTGTTGCTGCTTTTATAGTATACCTGTGGCCTCCACATTTTATTTAGGTTCAGTGGTGGCAAACTTTGGGCCTCTTTTGCCACAGCAGGCTGTTTGTTTCATTGAAGGCCCCCAAAGGTTTACCATCACTGGGTTAGACACTCTTTAATTTCTGAGAGCATAACTGGTGGTGTGTGCTGGGAAATCCCAAGACAAAAATAGCCCGTGAAGTTTTTCTTCTGTGCCATTCTTCACCTCAGCCTTTGCTCTTCACCATCATCCCTCCTGAAACAAAAGAATCCATGGCTTCAAGAGAAGGAAAAATATGTTTGTTTCTTTGTTTAAATTAGATGTGTTTACCACTTATCCATTAGGGAGAGAATTTTGTGAGTATTTTTTGCCTTGAAACTGAAACCACTTTTTTTTTTTTTTTTTTATCGGTACCGGGAATCAAACTTATGACTGCCTGCTTGAAAGGCAGGTGCTTATGCCGCTGAGCTAAATCTCCAGGCCCCCCTTTTTTTGTGTGTTTTTGAGACAGGGTCTCTATGCAGTTCAGGCTGGCCTTGAGCTCACTTTGTAGCCTAAGCTGGCCTCAAACTCACAAGGATCCTCCTGCCTCAGGCTCCTGAGTGCTGGGATTACAGACATGAGCTCCCACACCCGTTTGAAAATTTAACCACTTTCAACTATATAAATACTAACGGACAAGTTCGTTTGAGTCATTTAGTTATACAACTGCTATAGGAGCTGTCAACTGCCATCTTGTCTATTCTGTTCATCTGTAACTACAGCTGACATTTCTAATAATTTTCCTTCCTCAGACCTCAGTTGGATGAACCCATCCCACTGTGTGAAGCAAAAGTTTCCATGGAAGTTGTTCAGAAAAATCAAGGAAGAAAAAAGCAAGTTGTTCTATTTTAATTTTCTTATTTCTTAGACCTCAGTTGGAAGACCAGTATTGTAAGTGCAAATTTTCCTTGAAAATTGAGAAAAAATCAAGTAGGAAAAAAATCAAGTGGTCTCATTTTTAAGCATGTTTCCTTGTTAAGATGTTCAGTTATTTGATGTATTTGGGAAATTTTTGCTTATGCAAGTGATCGAGATAATTCTGTATTTAACATCTGAAGGGAATATTCAGAAAGACTTTTTAGTTATTTCTATACATTTTGCCACGGTTACAAGATTCTTTCCATGAAGAAAACTACTGCTTTCAGTAAAACTTACACTATTCCATTGATAAACCTGTTATAGGCCTTTGCTGTAAAGGTTCTGTCAAAGTAATGTTACTAATCTTTTATGAATCCATTGTTAATATCTTCTTTAACGAGACTCTGCAGTCATTTGAAGCATTTGAATGGATTTTCAGGATTTTCAAAGGAGCTAGGCCATAAGGCCTTAATTTTTGTTTTCAAATACTCATTCACTTGAAGTTTCTCAGGATCAAACAAGCTTGTAACTGCGTGCTACAGCTGCCAGCCTTGGCATAGGGCTCTAGGCAGACCAAGCCTTGAGAAGGGGGATGGCAGGTTGCTGGCAAGCTGCATTTGGAGTGTGCTGACTTGCTGAGTTCCCTTTTGGGGAGCGGGCTGGTGTGGCTCTTTCCCCACCTCTCCCAGTCGCCTGTGCTCTCTGAAAGTTACCAGATCAGAAGCCCCACACGCCCCACGCAGAAGCTCAAGTGTGACGTTTGCTTTTTATCCAGGCGCCATACCGGGGGCTGATCACATCCCTGTGGAATTAAAGCAGCGTCCACCTATTTCGGTGTCCAACAAGAAAGTGTCCACTGGTGCCGGACCAGCAACGCTGCACCTCGCGATCAGAGCGCGGCCCACAGCCCAGCACTGGGGCTGTAGGGTGCAGTAGGAGACCAGGGCCAGGGCGTGGCCTCGCAGGGGTGGGGGGGGTCCCACTCCGCACGCGCCTCGGTGACGCAGCCACTAGGGCGGGACTTCCGGCCGCGTCCAATCAGCGCCGAGGCTGACTGCGTAGGGGGCGGTGCCAGCGCGCGCGCGCGGGAAGTGCGGGGCGAGAGACCGCTGCCAGCCACCGCTAGTCATGGCCTTTCCTGTCTCCGGCTACTCGCCCAGTTTCAAAAGACCCCCCGAGATCTTGCGCCTGCGACGCAAGCGGGCCCGGACCCATGAAGCTGCTGCCTCCTCGTCCCCAGAGCTGCCGGGCCCGCGCCTCGCCGCCCTCACAGCGGGGTTGCCCCTCCGCCCTTTCCCGGCCGCGGCGGGCAGAGGCCGCTGCGCGCCTGAGCCCCGCCGGAACCCCTTCGCCCGCCTAGATAACCGGCCTCGGCCTGCCACGCAGTTCTGCGGCCAGCAAGAGGTGTCGGCCCCGGTGAGTGTCGCGGTGACCGCCTATAGGACGGGTGGGAAGGTTCCCAACGGTGCAGGCGGGAAGTTCTCGGGAGCGCCCACCCTGCTGGCCGCGCGGGGGTGGGGGGGGGCACCTGTGGGGATGGAGGAAGGATTAGCCTAAGTTGGGTCAGAATTTGCTAGCCTGTTGGATCTTTTAGAATCGATTATTAATGCGCCGAACCTGGAGCCTTGTTTCTTTGTAATTTTTTTTGCTATTAAAGTTCAGACACAAAAATGAAGTGAAACACTCGTTTTTGGATTTGGATGTATGTGAATTGGGGCACATTTCTTATCTACTGAGAACCCTGCATGCCAGGGGCTGCGGCAGGATTGCTAGGATGTCCAGGTCCAGTTTGGGCTGTGTAGTGAGTTCAAGATCAGCAGTAGCAAAACCCTGTCTCAGAAATCCAAAAGTAATAAAAGTAAAACTAGTCAATCGTTTCGGTTCTAAGAGGATGACTTTTAACCTCAGGTTTTAGATTCTAATCGAGAAAATGACTTGCTATGGGAAGAGGCGTTACCTGAAAGAACTGTTACTGAACTACACCAGGTAATACTTTTTTAATGTCATTAGAACATACATTATTTGCACTTCTCAGAAAAATTTTGCATAGGAAATAGTTTCACAGTCTACCTGGCGAGTGACCTAGGATTGAAAACATGGCATCATTTAGGTAAAGAACTTGTAGCGTGCCTGTGGTCACCTACACAGAAATAAGCAATAAGGATGTGAGGTATAGTAAATGTGAGTTTTCCTTTTACACCACCCGCTGCCCTGCATGCCCAACTTCAAAAGGCTTTAAACACATCGGTTTTAAACACTTTCTTCTTTGGATAATGTGCCGGCTCATCACCCAAAAGCAACCCTCAAGCTCAGTTACTTCTGCTGCTCTGCTAACTTTTTAAACCAGATCCCCAGATTACCATCACAGGTTGTAATGAAACATTGAGCCGCATTGCTCCCCTCATTGCACACATACATTCTTTTATTTCCTTTACTGTATTCTGTTTTGATTCTGTTGTGATGGCTTGATAAATGCTTGGTTTGTCCTAATGGGGACAGCTGGAAGAGCACCCCAAGATCCAGTCGTCCCTCTTTATAAATTAATGGCTTTGCATGGTGTTGAAGAATTCTGAAAGAATCCTTGTAACATAGAAAAAATAATGACTGGAAGAAGCAATACAGGTTCAGGGTCAGATTTTGGGTGAGGAAACATTTTTTGATGGGACCTACATAAATTATTCACAGGACGACCAGGTTGGCTCTGTTTCAGAGCCTTAAGAGATGCATTTTTGAATACTGCTAAGATTTCTATTTTGATAACATGTATAGTATCATAAAGAACTGTTAAAACTACAAAATGAAACCTGACCCTTTTCTAGCACCACCTCCAACAGATGTTTGCATCTTAGAGATAATCATTGTCAAGTTTATCTTTATCTGCTTCCAGCCTTCTTCAGTGTATAGTTCTGTTTTCTTTTCATGGTACTAGGGATTGCATCTAGGGCTTTGTGCATGCTTGGCAAGTGCTGCACCACTGAACTGTATTTTCTGTGTTATTTATTACACTATTTGTATAATTTTGATCATAAGTATTTTGATAAAATCTTAAGATTGGTTTTTCTTGAAACTAAATTTTTGTGTTCTTTGTTTTTTGAAAGACTCCACATGCATTATTCTCTGAATCAGATACTCTCCTTCCAAAAAGTAAAGAGTTACCTGTAGACTGGAGTATTAAAACTCGACTCCTTTTCACCTCTTCTCAACCCTTCACCTGGACAGATCATTTGAAAGCACAGGAGGAGGCACAAGGTCTTATGCAGCATTGTAGGGCAGCAGAGGTTACTTTGCCTCAAAGTATACAGGTAATTCTGAAATGAAATGACTTTTAAAGTAACAAGTGTAATTGGCAGGCTGTAATTGCTGACTAGAAGGGCAAACCTAAACAAGCCCCAACTAACAGCTACTAATGAGTTTCAAGCAAAAAATTAAAGACTTTTAGACTCAAATGTTTGATATATCCAGTCTCTCTAATGAAATTGTATATTTTTCATGGTCCAAAAAACAACGTTTTGTTCCCTCTGAATTTTAGGACCCCAAATTCTCTACTGAGCTCCGTTGTGCCTTCCAGCAGAGCCTTGTCTATTGGCTCCACCCTGCCTTTTCTTGGCTATCACTGTTTCCTCGTATTGGAGCTGATAGGAAAATGGCTGGAAAGATAAGCCCTTGGTCAAATGATGAAACCTTGCAACATGTACTAATGAGTGACTGGTAAGATTAATAAAAAGATTTGTACAATACAGTAGTGAAATTTTATTTTAGCAGTTTCCTCTCCTTAGTCTTTCTGGTTTGGGAGGTTTTTGGTTTTATTTTTATTGTTTTTTGGAACAAGGCCTTGATACATAGTTCAAGGTGGTCTTGAACCTAATATGTAGTCCAAACTGGCCTCGAACTTGTGGCAGTCATCCTGCCTCAGCCTCTTGGGATTAGGCATATGGCAGGCACTGTACCTTACTGTATTTGTGACATGGAAATTTGTAGGATCTCTCTGTCCCAGATTTTATCAGAAAAATGTAAATAATCAACATTTAAACTTCTTGCTTGTTTTTTAAGCTGTCACTATTACAGTATGAAACATATGTGTAAGATTAACATACATAGACAAATACAAATCTTTAATGTTCTCATCAGTCATTACATGTATTTATAAAAGTTGTTCAAAGTCAGAAGTTACCAAGTTTTGTTATTTAAAAAAAATGGTTAGTGTTTAAATGCTCAGCACTGTAAAAAGTATTGAGAAGTCACCAGAGAGTTTGAGTTGTTTACAGCCAAGTGATACATAACTGCAGAAATTTAAGCCAGCATCTGTGCAGTATTTGTGTTGGGTTGTTTTTTGTTTGTTTTTATTTGTTGTGTTTTAAACTTGAGTGTCAGATTAAAGTATCAGATCAAATTTTAAACATTGAGTTAAATGTTTAATAATACCTAAAGAAAATTATTTTGCTCATAGGTCTGTGAGCTTTACTTCTCTGTATAACCTGCTGAAGACAAAACTCTGCCCCTATTTCTACGTTTGCACCTATCAGTTTACTGTCCTGTTCCGGGCAGCCGGACTAGCAGGAAGTGATGTGATCACAGCTCTCATATCTCCCACAACTAGAGGTTTAAGAGAAGCTATGAAAAATGAAGGTAAAGTTTAAAGTGATAATAGTGCAATACTGTAAAAGCTGAAGTTTGAATTACCTTTTAACTATATTTTTCCAAAAGTGTAGTATCTCTAGATTTCTATGTTTTTCTGCATTTGGTTGAACTGTCCCTTAAGCATAGTTTTAAATGAGTGGTGTTCTCTCTGATCTCAGCAGTAAAATGGACTGGAAAGTTAGTATCAGACCATACTCTGTTTCTACGGGGCTGGGGATTTAGCTCAGCGGCATAAACGCCTGCCTTGTAAGTGTGTGGTCATGAGTTCGATCCCTAGTACCGATAAAAAGGAAAAAAACCAAAAAGTCTTTTTACAGAACAAATTAGCTATCTCCTGCGTAACGTTTTCAAAATAGCTCACCTCACCAGGCATAATTGTGAATACCTGTAATCCCAGCATTCCGGAGGCTGAGGCAGGAGGATCAGTGCAATTCGAGACCAGCCTGGGCTACAAGCTCAAGGCCAGCCTGAACTGCATAGTGAAACACTGTCTCAAATAGCCCGAAAAATAAAAAGTAAATTTTTGAGAAATCTAATTACATTTTGAGAAAGTAAATTAGAATACAATCTAATTTTTGAAAAGATATTCCATGTACTGCTGTTTCCTAAAGCATTTGTTTCAAAGAGAAATGTGAGGACGTTTTTGTATGTTGTAAGCTACATAAGAAAAGTTTGAAGACAGACCTTAAGAGATGGAAGTATAAAATTTTATATGTCAAATGTGATATACTCTTTACTAGTGATGGCAAGCCTTTTAGAGCTTTCAGTGTTACTAACAACCCCCTGCAGCACACATGCCATAGGTTTGCCACCATTCCTCTGCATTCTAAGTAGGGCACTACTGTTAAAGTAACCTGAGTTGTTTTTATGTTCTTATTTAGGTATTGAATTTTCTCTGCCTTTAATAGAAGATGATGGTCATAAGAAGAAAACTTATGGAACAAGCTCAGGACGTGGGGAGTATGTGATTAAAAGAACTATTACATCCAGTGACTTATGGATTCAGTGAAATTGATTTGTAAAATTACCAGCTTTGTGAAGTGAAGATTGTAACTATAGCAATTTCCTAGGGAGCAAGCAATCAGTGATGAAGATGAAGAGGAAAGTTTTTCTTGGCTGGCAGAGATGGGCGTGCATGATAAAATTAAAAAGCCAGATGTACTCTCTATCAAGCTGTATCCTTTAAGTTGCTATTAACAAGAATTAATTTTTGAATTAAGTTAATGAACAATTTTTAATTTATGGTTTTTAATAACTATAATTTTAAATTATCTTCAGTGTATCTTAAAACTATTAAATTAATAGTAATAAATTATGAACTCACACTGTTTTTAAGTTTGTGGGAGGTCACAAGTTTTTGACTAGGTTTTATTGCCAGTTTCTAACATTCAGCGAGTCAGCATATTGATTTACTGATTATGAATTTTGGAAAAGAATGCTTTTAGCTGATTCATAATCAGATTACTCCCCTCTTGGTGTAGGATTTGCAAAAATTTCCTTGATTGTCACCTTTAGGCGTAAAGAGAAACATGAAGTCCAAATGGATCACAGACCTGAGTCCGTTGTTTTGGTGAAAGGAACCAACACCTTTACATTGCTCAACTTCTTGATCAACTGCAAGAGTTTAGTTGCTACCTCAGGTGCACAGGCAGGACTTCCACCAACCCTTTTATCACCTGTAGCATTCCGAGGTGCCACAATGCAAATGCTTAAGGTAGTGAAAAGAAATTCTCCACTTCATCAGCCTTTGTCGCATAGCTCTATAGAAGCCTGACAGTAGTACTTCTTTGTGTGTATGTTTTGTCTTTTTCAGATAGGGTTTCGCTGTACAGTTCAGGCTAGCCTTAAACTCACTATAGCCCAGGCTGGCTTCAAACTCACAGAGAACCTCCTCCTTCAGCCTGCCACATGCCAGGATTACAGATGTAGGCCACCATGACCAACTCAGTTTTGTGGTGTTTTTTTTTTTTCTGAGACAGGATCTGCACATGTAGTCCAGGCCGACCTCAAATTGAGGGCTGGGATTATAGGTATATGCCACCATGCCCAGCTCTAAGTATGGTTTTAGATTTATAAAAGAGTAAGTTGAGGCATTTTATACTTTATTTTCACTTTCCACCTAGTTCAAAAAAATTCTTGACAATTATATGAGAATGTATTTTTTTTTTTCCTAGCACCAGGGATCAAACCCATGACCTCACACTTGCCAGGCAGGCGCTTATGCCTGGCTATAAAGAATATATCATGAAATATTTTGCTTGGGTTATATTTTCACAGAAATCCCAAATGCAAACATTGGGGGAAAATTTGGACATTTTTATTTTTGAACTCAGATTCCCAGGATGGCCTTGAATATGCATTCTTTCTGTCTCAAGAGTTACGATTATAGGGGTGCACCTGATGGCTTACATGCCTGTTCCGCTTTGCCTGACCTCTTAAGAATTTTTAGCTAAGAAACAGAGGCCCAAGATACAATGATGTAATTTTTCTTTTTAATTTTTATGAAGGCACGGAGTGTTAACGTGAAGACACAGGCTTCTACTGGGTATCAAGATCAATTCTCTTTGGAGATTACTGGTCCAATTATGCCGCACACTCTACATTATCTAACGAGCCTGCTCAGATCTTCACAGAGTGGGTCATTTTCTGCAGGACTGTATCCACATGAACCAACAACTGTATTTAATATCTGCCTGTCAGTGGATAAAGTACCAACTAAAGTAGGTAGATTCCTTTTGTCAGACTTAGTTGTAGGTAGTTTCCTCTTAACTAGCTGGAGGAAAGAAGTCATTTATGAGATGGACTTGAGCTTCAAGTTCTATTTATTGTACCAAATGGAGAAAAGGAGGTAAAAAGAATTAAGATGTATTTTATATATATATATATGCAGCTCTCCACAATGAATGTAATCATGTACATCATACACACTAATAAAAGTCTAGTAAAAGTATCATACTAAAACCATTAAAGGAATAAGTTATTTTTGAGGTCAGTTTTATAAATTTAAGCTATTGTGCTAGTAAGAACTTAAGAAATTTCTGTAACCTTAAAAAAGGCAACCATTTTCATTGCCCCCTCAGATCCAGTTTCTTTATAGTTTGTGAAAGCTTTATTAGGGGATTTATCCATATTTAATTTTCAACATGTCTAAATGTTATCATGTAGATATAAATCTGTGTAACTGCCATGTTATCAGTTGGCTGTAAAAGTAACATTTTATGGTTTGATCACCATACAAATTCTTAGAATCTTCTATAGACAGTGAATTACAGGAATGAGCCATTTGTCAGTCTCCATGATACTCAATGTTCAGAGGCTAACATGTTTTCTCAAAGACTAAACTAAATGTGTACATATTTCTACAGGAAGTTGCGAATAAGGAGCTTGCGAACTGTGGGTTGCACCCTAAGACGCTGGAACAACTTAGTCAAATACCATTACTGGGGAAATCATCTTTACGGAATGTGGAAATGAATGACTACATTTGTAATTGGAGATCCTGAACACCAAAGTAAGCCTAAAAGGAATCTTTGAGGAAAAAAATCTCCTAGCAAGGAAATTCAAGATTCTTTACCTTTGTCTTTAAAGAAAGGAATATATTTTACAATATTGAAATGTTTAGAACATTCACTTCTTACATTAGTTTTATTATTTACATGCATTGAGCAATATAAAGGTTTTAAATGAACATGATTTTACTGTTTCATACTAGATTTTCAGGTATGAAGATGCAGTTTTTCTTAAGCCCCAGGTAACTTGAATGAGGAATCTATAAGCCTACAAGCAATTTGTAAATGGAGTAGAAAATCAAATTAAACTCAATGTTTCCTTACAAATGACAAATTGAGACTAAATCTGTAGCAGTTATTTCATGAAACTAAAAGTACAACTTACCTGAGAACAGGTTACTGTTTTATAAAAGTAGAAAATGATGTAGACACCATGTCTGAGCTGATTATAGATGCTTTCAGTGTCTTAATCATTTATAGTTCCTCTATTCTTAAATATAAATTTGCTTTTTAAATACATGCTAATAAACTCAGATAAGAGATTATTTTGTACTCCATATAAACAGCATTAAGACTTCTTGGATGTTCAGCTGTAATGGCAAAGTACTATTTAATGTGTTTACAAGGTGCCTGGGCATGTTTGTGTGTGTGTGAGTGTGTGTTTGAAATTGTTTAAATAAACATACTTAGATAATAGTACTTAGTGAAGATGTGTATGTTCACTTTATGATCCAGAAAATAAAACACCACATTTATTCCAGAGAAGTTTGTATTTGGGCCTTAAGCTTTTGAAAATAAAGTTTAGAGACATAGCATATGAATACCACTGTAATACACATGAAATATTCTATCAGACCCTAAAAATTAACATAAACTTTCTCATAGTCAACAAAATAGTGGCTGGTTGCCAATTTTATTAGGTAAGTTGGTTACAGCGTTTTATTAATTATTTTACGTCTACCTAGGTGTAGCTGAAATTCAAAATGCACATCAAAGTAAAACTATATCACAACTCAAGCCATACTAAATGTACTTGGCCTCTGCAGTAGATTTCTAGTCAAGACTTCATTTTGACTCCCTTCTTATGACTCAAGTGACTTTAATGGGAATGCAGGACTTAGTGCTGATCATCACACAACATATCACTTTCTTTTTATAACCTCTACAAAATTTTAAAGGAGGATGGTGGCATTAGCCCTATGGAACAGATCTTGATTACCTCAATAACACTGGCCCAGTATCTGTCCAGCAGAACCCATTTTGAAATAGTACAAGGTGCACAGCCCTTCACTGATTACAGGCAAGTGTTACAGGCAGCCTAGCCATAAGGAAGGGGAGTTACATCATAGTACAAAATACAGTATAAAAGCGTTATTTAACATTCCACACTGAAGACTACTGATGCCTTCAAACAATTGTTTGGATGTTAGCCACTTAAACAAATACATCACTAAGGTAAACAATATAAACATACCAAAACCCTGTATGGTTAAATACAATTTCCATGGTACAAAAATCAAAGCCTGGAGATGTTTGTACAGATTGCTTTTTACACAATGTCTTAAATTGCCAAATATTTACAACATTAAAGAGGAAATACATTTGTGATGCAGAGTAAAATTATCTGAAATGATTAATATAAAACCTCAATCTATCTACGTGAGGCACTCCTGAAGCAAGTGGCATTAGCCATGAGGTCCTTTGGTACAAGGCCCATTGCTTGAAGAACCACAGTAGCTGCTGTGGCTTTAGCATGCTTCTTATTAGGGCTGGCAAAGCTGGGCTGGTAAGCGCTTCCATTTATCAATACCTATTCAAGAAAAACATACAATTGGGCTGGTAAGGGCTTCCATTTCTCAATACCTAGTCAAGAAAAACATACAATAAGAACAGCATCAAACTTTAATATCTATTAGCTTTGTACTTTTTCACTAAATGCTAGAAAATATACATAACCCATACTATGCAGTTTAAATTACTCAGCCCAAAAGCAACAGATTTGAAAAAATGGACTGCAAATTAAAAGCAGTTTTCTACATTAAGAAGCTTCATATAAGTAATTACATTAATTCCCCATATTCCACTCACTAGAGGTATCGATAAATTACTTGCCAACTTTTGCCCATATCTTCCCCTCTGATTTTTTTTAAATTGTACATTCACAAATACTATTTAAGCTTAAATGTTGGTTTAAATCTCCCACCACTCTAGCTATTCATTCATGTAACCCACAATCCACAAAATACTGATTGTATCATGTTTGTCCCCTTCACCCTCTAACATTAAATCATCAAATTAAATATATACTATTAGTGCAGAAATTCATATTTACCCTAAAGAGAAAATGTTTGCGATGATCAGGGCCACTATCATGGACCAAGAGAAATTCAGGTGGTTGCCACCTTCTCTTATTACAGATTTCCATCAAGGCAGACACAGGATGTTTGCCTGCAAAGAAAAGCAGTCATTAATTATTTCCACCAACTTTCTCAACAAAAATGAATTCAGGGTATGCATGGGACAAGAGGATAATGAAAAATGTTCTCTTACCTGATAGATCTTTCATTGCAGCAGAGAAGTTCCCAGACCTCTTTTGTGCTCTTTCTCCTACAGCAACAAGACCTAAAAAAAAAGCCAATGTTCACTAAATCAGTATCAAAGCATCATTTTAAAAGTGTAGCAAAACAAAAATGCCTGCTGTAGAAACCTGAATCTTAGACCATGCCTTCAATATTCATAGATTGACATAGTGCACTTATCAATGTCTAATTTACCATTTCAACATACTTTGGTATTAAAAGTTTCATAGAATGTATCTATAAGTAGGATGAATAGGTGTACAAATCAAGTGTCATAAATGAATCCAGGTTTACTACTTTATGTAAGGCTTAAGAAGTAGTGGCTACTGATTGCATTAATTTTACAGGTATTCTCTCTTTAAAAATGACATGGACTAGAGATACAGCTCAGTGGCAAAGCCTCTGCCTGGCAAGTGTGAGGCCCTAGATTTGATTCTTGTTATGCCCACCGCCAAAAAAAATCCTTAAATAAATGTTTGGTTACATACAAATGAAAAAATATCTCCAAGGATAAATGCATCCCCTTTACCCTAACAAAACCTTCCTTTCTAAAACTGAGATGTTTTCAAGAGACAAAATAAATTCTGCATAACCTCCCTCCATGAATTTATTACAAAGGGAAGTAATATGAACTCAAAAAATCTAGAAGTTTTTCAATCAGTCCTTTGTTGATTACATGCAAGTATATTAAGCTTTCCCGATCCTATCCTGAGCAGTGAGCGATCATCAGAAATTACACCCAAGTCATGTTGCATAATTCCAAGGAAAGTACCCCTTGGAATTACATAATACACATTTGGCATACACTTGGCCTATTTCCAAATTCACTGTAATGACTGACTTCCCTGAACCTACCTTAACTGTTTTGATTCCAAAGATAACAATTTCCTGTTCTTAAAACTTGGGACTAAACAATCTATTCAAGCAAGCAGCCATTTATGATTCCAATTATATTATTCCAATTTTTTTGTTTTTTGTTTTTTTGCGGTACCAGGGATTGAACTCACAACCTCGCACTTGCCAGGCAGGCACTTATGCTGCTGAGCTAAACCCCCGGCCCTCCAACGGAATATATTAAAGGAACCAATGGGCTGTTACCTGAGGGTACTAAGTAGGTTAATACTCAGCAGCTACATGAAGGCTATACAGGTCTTCTCTCCAACCCCTGCTATATGAAGATAACAGCAAAGTATAGTAGCGACAACAGTTCCAATGTGCCCAACACAAGGCAACACAAAGAGCTAACAACTGTTATCGGCTGTGTTTTTAGTAGCGGGTTGCTCCACTACTCTTCAACCTTACTATGACCACTGGTGTGAAAAAGACAAGCAAACAGAGCTCGTAAAACAAAGATAAATCAGTACACTAAAACTACCTAAACTGTAGAAGAAAAATATCGAATCTTAAGAGATAAAATCAATTATGTGGTCCCTGTCAAGAGAAAATGGAATCCCAAATGAAATGTAATTAAATTTGTAGCCAAAATTAGGTTAAATGAAAACTTTCATATATGGCAATTCTCATGAAGGATGCCTCTGAACAACTCTATTGTCTCCAGCCATAAAAAAATATGCTCCTATGTATGAAAATGAGTTAAAAACTTTTCCTGACCCTGCAGTATACAAGAAATGCCTATAGTTCAGGATCACTAGGATTAAAAGATAGTTAAAACCCTGAGTGTTGAAAGAGACACAGTGAACATTTCCAAAAAGAATTTGTTACCTTTTCGGTCTGTCTTAAAATCAACTAGGATAGGTTCTTTATTTCCTTCTTTGTTTTTTCCTAGTCCTTCTCCTTCTCTCCAGCCCATTTTTCTCATCAAAACGGCTCCCATTCCTCCAGTTACTGGGGCTGCTCTTAAGAACTGATCCTATCCAAAGAAAGAAAGGTAAAATGTCCCCAATTTACAATTGGAACTTAACTATAGACTCACTCACTGGTAACTTTGTAAAAAGAGAAATCTTATTTTACTTCTAGATCTGTTACAATTAAATTTATATGCTTCTATGTACTTAATACATACTGTAGTATATATGTTCTAATTATTTTCACATTACGCAATTTTAAAACAGTAGTCCCTCATTCCCCCCTCCAAAAAAAAATAGAACACTCCTGTTTTCGTCCACTATTTAGGTTCACTGGTATCTCTTCTTAGCTTGCAAAATAAAAAGAAGGCAGTGTTAAAACAGTCAATAGTATTAATTGTCCCAAGTGTACCTAGTTTATGAATAAAGCCCAGAAATCATTTAGAAAGTTTGGACACTGAAGAAGTATACTGTTGCCATCCAAAGTTTTTTTTCCCCCATTCTACTACGCATGTATAAATATTTTTACTTAGAAAATCCCTATGAAACAAACTCTTTAAAATTACACTGTAATAAACTGAAGGTAATCACACAAAATACCCTGTAAGTATACCAAAATGAACTGGAACTCTTTAAAACCTAGCTTGATGTTAAAAGACTTTTAAAAAACTCCTTAAATGTTTACATACCTAGGCCTCGGTAGCAGCAGTGTTGTGACTAGTACGGCTGGCACTGACCGGGGCAAGAAGACAGCTACAAGGATTTGGCCCTGAAACAAGTTTCCATACAGAGGGGTGAAAGTTCACAGGTTATTCTGTGAACAATCAACTCTCCTGTATCCAACCCACTGAACCATAATTTCCATCAAAGCAGCAAACCACTTAATGTCATAAGATGCACAACTATATACATTAGCATGGTCGACCATCCATTATTTTCCACATTTTAAGAATATTCAATGCCTCATTTAATGGGCATCCACATACATGTAACAAACTGCTGAATTCTAATGCTGATCTACAAGGCTGTTTTTTTTTAAAAAAATGATTTGAAACTCACATCCCCCAAATACTGTATTTCACCTTGATTCTGAATTTTTGGGTACTGTTCTCTAGCAGACAGAGCAAAAGTGATTAACTTATCAACAGAGGTAATCAAAACTTTTTGTAGCTCAAAAAGAGTATGTATTATCAGTTCCTTCATTGATAAGTTAGTATTTTTAAAAATCATTTGTTACAGTTATAAAACTATGTAATCTTTGTTTCCCAGCTTTATAATTAAGTGCTGGGGAGAAAATCATGCCAATGATTTATGA